TGTGACCCAGAGAAGAATATTTATATCAACACTCAGGTAACTCAGTCAATAGTTAAACATATATACTGATCACATCTCTCTCCCACACACTCAAGGCTTTACTCCCCCTTAACACTTGTCTAATGTTTCATAGTTTGTGACCGTCTATACATCAACGTGTGACCATCAATACATCAACGTGTGACCATCAATACATCACCGTTTGACCATCAATACAGTCAACGTTTGTGACCATCAATACAGTCAACGTGTGACCATCAATACATCACCGTTTGTGACCATCAATACATCAACGTGTGACCATCAATACATCAACGTGTGACCATCAATACATCAACTTGTGACCATCAATACATCAACTTGTGACCAATACATCAACGTGTGACCATCAATACATCACCGTTTGTGACCATCAATACATCACCGTTTGTGACCATCAATGACCATCAATACATCAACGTGTGACCATCAATACATCACCGTTTGTGACCATCAATACATCAACGTGTGACCATCAATACATCAACGTGTGACCATCAATACATCAACGTGTGACCATCAATACATCACCGTTTGTGACCATCAATACATCAACGTGTGACCATCAATACATCAACGTGTGACCATCAATACATCAACGTGTGACCATCAATACACCCGACCTGTGTGTTGGCAATCCCATACTCACCTTGTCCAGGATTTTGTGTTTTTGTATTTATATAATTATGTACACACATATACGCACACACACACACACACACACACACACACACACACACACACATACAGGCGCGCGCACGTACACACACACACAACAGTCGGTACGCATGAACACACAACCTTCCCTCGTACAGGTGGTTCAGAGTGAATATTGTCATCAGGATGACTCGTGATGGCCATTATTAACACTAGACAGGGGGGCGCGCCCCGCCTTATGGAGCCTTCTTGTGTAGGTGCTCGCTGGTGACGTCACCTTATTTGTTTTGAGATAAGAACTCTTCCTCGATTATTGTGATATTTTCCAGGAGTTTGCCTCTTCTAAAGTGTTTTATGAAGCCAAACTTACAATATTGTCGTGTGTATTATTAACGCAACAATCTATTGTGGCAGAAGCAGTCACGACGGACACGCTGCTTCAGGTGTGAGCAAACTTTCTTAATGTTTTTTCCTCAACTGTACTTCTTTATATACGATCTTTGATAAAGGCAATGAACCTCTGGAAGCAGATTTAGAACGAGAAAAGTTCCGAAAAACAACGACAGCTGCACCGAACAGGGGTACACAGTACATTACAGTACAGTACCAACTGATAAAAAACGGCCACTGTTTACGTTTTGCCAAGTGATCATTGTGAGACAGATCACAATGACCGAGGAACAGAGTGATCACAACACATTATGGGAGTAAAAGACCCATAAAAGTTAACTGTTATAAGGTTATGTGATGCAGGAGAGTCTCTTAAACATCAAGTAAAGTTAACTGTTATAAGGTTATGTGATGCAGGAGAGTCTCTTCAGCATCAAGTAAAGTTAACTGTTATAAGGTTATGTGATGCAGGAGAGTCTCTTAAACATCAAGTAAAGTTAACTGTTATAAGGTTATGTGATGCAGGAGAGTCTCTTAAACATCAAGTAAAGTTAACTGTTATAAGGTTATGTGATGCAGGAGAGTCTCTTCAGCATCAAGTAAAGTTAACCGTTATAAGGTTATGTGATGCAGGAGAGTCTCTTAAGCATCAAGTAAAGTTAACCGTTATAAGGTTATGTGATGCAGGAGAGTCTCTTAAGCATCAAGTAAAGTTAACCGTTATAATGTTATGTGATGCAGGAGAGTCTCTTAAACATCAAGTAAAGTTAACTGTTATAATGTTATGTGATGCAGGAGAGTCTCTTAAGCATCAAGTAAAGTTAACCGTTATAAGGTTATGTGATGCAGGAGAGTCTCTTAAACACCAAGTAAAGTTAACTGTTATAATGTTATGTGATGCAGGAGAGTCTCTTAAACATCAAGTAAAGTTAACTGTTATAAGGTTATGTGATGCAGGAGAGTCTCTTAAACATCAAGTAAAGTTAACTGTTATAAGGTTATGTGATGCAGGAGAGTCTCTTAAACATCAAGTAAAGTTAACTGTTATAAGGTTATGTGGATGATAATGAGACCATGACTGTTTTAGTTGTGTTGTGGAAGTTGAAACGAATGATTTATCTCCGGTCCTGTCCACCTCTAACACTATATAGTGAAGTCTGTCATACTGTACTTGCTCACTCCGTCTCCTCGTGAGCCTCACTCCGTCTCCTCGTGAGCCTCACTCCGTCTCCTCGTGAGCCTCACTCCGTCTCCTCGTGAGCCTCACTCCGTCTACTCGTGAGCCTCACTCCGTCTACTCGTGAGCCTCACTCCGACACACTAAAGCCTGACACTTCCTCACGCTGAATCATCCCTTAACCCACTTGACCAATAAACTTATAAGTGGAAATAAATAATTTGCCTTTGAAAATTACTTCAGTACGTCTTACTAACAACCGATGAAGACTATTTGACCACCTTATACTTGTACAGTAGTGTTGTGTCGAGTAAGAGTTTACACCACAACACTCAACGTTGATACGTAATGTTGTATATCTGTCTATCATTAAGTGTTCCCCGCTTCTATATCTTACAACAGCACCGACGGTTTATATAACAATAGCCACTACAACTTACACTTATTACTTTAGTATAACATAATCTTAATATTATGTTCACATTGTATATTCAAAACACATACTGTAAACATGAATGTTGACCTATAGAGTTGACCTCGTTCACGCGAGTCTGTTCTGAGAGACTTATTAGAGGTCAAAGACCAGCAGTGTTCTCTCAGAGGTGGAGTCTCTCAATACAATCTTGCCTCTAGATAATTATCTATAATAATGTTGCAACAATAAACACTGTTGAGGCAACATCAACAACTTTTAAAGAAATTATATGAACAATTTCAGTCAGTCAGTTTGCCAGTGTAGAGACGCGACTCACACTCATTCTAACAACCAATCCGCGTTGTTATAGATAGTTAAAAGGTTAAGTAGAACGGTCAATTACTGTTGGCTTGTATATGAGGTAGTGTGGTCTAAGATGGCTGGCTGACTCAGAGGAGGCCAGGTGGTGGTACTGATCCCTTCCCCTTAACCTCACTCCACTTAGCGAGGTCCAGCTGATCCCCATCCACACGAGGGTCGCTCAGTGGGGAGCAACACTACTTTTATCGTTACACAAAGCGATAATTCCTACTGTAGTTGGTACACGTGACGGGGCGGCGCCTCGTACAGGTTATTATTTATCATGTTCTCAGACCAGCTCTCATGGGTGGAGCGAAATAAAGTCATAGAGAAGATATTACAGACAAAAAGTTACATTTTGGGGAAGGAAAAAAGTAACATTTTACTTAATTATCATTAAGAGTTTTGGTTAGATTAGGTTATGAATATATTGTAAGTAGACCATACCATACCATGCCTAACCTAACCCTCATCTGTATCTATTTATGCTATAACATTTTTCTGTGATTTTCCCGACACTAGTTTCCTGAACCACACCTTCCCTCTGCCGGGTGTCATAATGTTTGTCTCGCCTTGACAAAAACGCTCAGTTCCTTCCATCATCAACCACAGCATACGAGAACTTCCTACGTGTTATAACTTTCCCCCTGACTCAAGAACAACGACCAGTGATCACTGACAAGGGCTGCCTCCAGCCTTCCAAATTATAGCACAAGTTATGGAACAGAAACAGTAAGGCAAAACCATCATGAGTCAAGATGTCTGAAGTCAGCAACACAACCCAACACAACACAAGCAGCCGTTTTCTCAGTCGTTCGAGAGCTAGCTCCCCACACACAAATAGGGGAGCTACTATAGTATACGGTCTATCGAGCTGGAGTTGTGTCTACCGGGATATTTACACTGTAGCATCCATTTACCTAACCTAGGTTAGGTTAGGTTAATAGACGCTGTAATATAAATATCCCGGTAAGCCAACTCCAGCTCTGTAGACCGGGGGAAGGGGGAGTGTCTCTTCAGGGGGGGAGGAAGGGAGGGTCTGAGAAGGAAAAGGTAGGAACAAGTGCTCCAACATATCGTCTTAACTAAGTGACCCTTAACCTGTAATGTTAACACTGAGATCAACCAATATCCCTTCCTGGCCGCTGTACTGCACGACAAAATCCATCATTCTCTTCATGTTAACTTCGGGAATAAACTCAGGGCTTGACGAAATGTGCGGCTGTAGTAAGAGAATATTTATATGGGTTTGTTACATGCTAGAATAAAACACCAGATTACATAAGTGAAATGATAAGAGATAATACATTTGTGTTGAGTAAGTGATGTAATATAAGGGAGTAAAGTGCCACTAAAACTGCAAGTTTTAGTCCCACAGGGTTAGGCGCGGGGGCTGGTGCGGTGGCTGGCGCGGGGGCTGGTGTGGGTGGGTGATGGCGCGGGAGCTGGTGTGGGGGACTGGCGTCTAGTATTATTTGGTGATTCTCGTGACATGATATTTTCGCTGACAATGTACTGTATGTTGAATAACTATCCAAATAACTACTGATTTTAACGTGTTGTAAATTTAGCTGTAGCAATAAGTTACAGCAGGTGTCTTAGTGTTGTGTAGAGTACAGGCGAGCCACACACAGACACACACCTAACCATACCATCGCCACTACACAACATACAACACTTCTATATTAAAGTCAAAAGACAAATATTTGACAAAGAAATGGATAGATTTCATTATATACTGTACACTCAATAAAAAATTACTCGGCATCCTTACGGCGTGATACAATGTGACACGGGTGCCGAATAATTTTTTAGTGGATGTACATATACTGACAGATTCTGGCAGTTAAATCTACCAACGTCAGTGTTAATGATAAGTTATTGTAATCACTGATTGTATCTGTCATTGGTGGGGAGGTGTTATCACCTGATACAAGATAACATTAATATTGCAACAGACACTTAGGGAAGGAACAGCTAACAGGTCGTCTTGTACCTCACTGAGTATTACCACTTACCTACTGTACACGGTCAGTTACTACCACTCACTGTTGGGTGTGTGTGTGTGTGTGTGTGTGTGTGTGTGTATTATAATAATAATAATAATAATAATAATAATAATACTAATAATAATAATAATAATTACTGGTTTATTGAAAGAGCATGGCAGCCCGAAGGCTGAAAATATACAGTTACATATTGGGGAATGGGTCACTTGATCGATAAATAATATACAAGTAACATAAGTGATACAAATATGACATATAATAACAAGGTGGGGAGAAGGTCATACAACAGGGCATTTCAACCTAGTAACAGTGCAGATTGACTGAGAATGAATACACTGGTTGATTCAGAGTTGTTGATAATTTTTACAATGGTTGGGATTGGGCTGTTCTTTTAGTGCATGTTCGTATGGGCTGGATGCGGTTTCGAACAGCAATTCGGGGACGAGGGATCTCCGGTGGTAGTAGGAGCTGGTGTCGAGGATGGTGCAGAAGCTTCACACCAAATTTGCAGATGAGGTCGTGGTGATGATCAGAGAGAGCCGAGGGGGTCAGTGTGTTGAGCGCTTCTTGTTATGTGGAGTAGGTGGGGGAGAGAATAATCTTGCATGCCCTCTTTTGCACTTTTTCAATGCGTTTCCGTTGTGTAGTTTTAGTGAGGAAGACCAGGCAGGGGAGGCATACCTGTAGGTGAGCTTGGGATGTATGAATGTTGAGTAAGCACTGAGTAGCTCGGGTGCAGTAACTCTGAGGGACTTGAGTCGGCGGAGGAGATGGAAAAGAAAACTGGAGGATTTGACAACTGTACTAAAGTGTGTTTTTCGTTTGGTTTGTTATCTATAGTGATGCCAAGGAGCTTAGTGGTGTGTGTGTGTGTGTGTGTGTGTGCGCGCCTGTGATATGTGTAGTAATAATAATAATAATAATAATAATAATAATAATAATTAACGGTTTATTGAAGGAGCATGGCAGCCGGAAGGCTGAAAATATACAATTACATAATTGGGGAATGGGTCTCTTGATTTACTGATTTACAAATGATATACAAGTAACATAAGTGATACAAATATGGTATATAATAATTAGGTGTTGATAATTTTTACAATGGTTGGGACTTGGCTGTTCTTGGAGCAATCAGTTCGTGCTCGTATGGGCTGGATCCGGTTGGGCAGGTGTGTGGCCACATGGCCACCCTAAATTGGGAAACGAAAAACAGACAATATGGTCAGAGTCCCAAACTTTCGGTTGGTGGATTATCAGGGGTTAAGAAGGTACCTAGGTGAGGTCACCTGGGAACAGTCAGGTCAGTCCCCATAGGAAAGGGTGAGGTCACAGATGAAAACAATTGATCATGACTATAATATATTCACTGGTATACTACGTAAAGCACAAGAACAAAATATACCATACAGAAAAATTAGGTGAAATAAGAATGAGCCAAGGAGGATGACCAAAAAACTTAAACATGACATAGGAATAAAGAAAGGAATTTATAAGAAATTAAAGGGAGGGGGAGAGCAGCTCAGAGATAGGTATAATGAACTATCTAGGAACTGTTAAGAAAAATGTAAGGAAAGCAAAGAGAGACTATGAAATCAGAATAGCAAGAGAATCCAAGGCAAATCCCAAGGTTTTTTCCAGGTATATAAGACAAAGGTCAAGGACAAACTTGGGCCTTTAAAGTCAGGAGGGGGGAAGTGATCAATGGCAATGAAGAAATAAGCAAAGCATTGAACAGCAACTTTTTATCAGTTTTCACAGAAGAAATTCGCAACGAAATTCTAGAGGTGGAACAGATATTTAGGGGAAAGGAAGAAGAGAAATTAAAGAATATCACTATCAGAAAAGAGGATGTTCTTAACAGGATAAATAAATTAAAGAAGACAAAATCCCCAGGGCAGGATGAAATTTTCCCTCGAGTCTTGAAAGAGTGTAGGGAACAGATTACCGGACCCCTCGTAAATTTATTTACAAAATCATTAGACACGGGAGTTGTGCCAGACTTGTGGAATAGGCAAATGTAGTACCCATATTCAAAAAGAGGACAGCATCAGCGTCAAATTACCGGCCGATCAGTTTGACGTCAGTAGTGGGGAAATTTCTTGAATCAATTATAGCAAACAGTATCCGATCGCATTTAGGGAAAAGCAAATTAATCTTATAATAATAATAATAATAATAATAATAATAATTAACGGTTTATTGAAAAAGTTCTGCAGACCGAAGGCTGAAAATATACATTGGACATAAATGACTTATTACATACATTGGTGGTTTAACAAAAGCCTTCATTAGAGAAAGGTAAAGGAACATACAGTGAACATACAGATTAATGTAGGATTGTACGTGTTGAACAGCAAACACGTAGTGTAGTAACTCCCTCCCAGATGGTGTTATGAGGGACCTCACGTGGTGTAGTAATTCCCTCGCAGATGGTGTTATGAGGAACCACGTGGTGTAGTAATTCCCTCACAGATGGTGTTATGGGGGACCTCACGTGGTGTAATTACCTCACAGATGGTGTTATGAGGGTCCTCACGTGGTGTAGTAATTCCCTCACAGATGGTGTTATGAGGGGGCCTCACGTGGTCTAGTAATTCCTTCACAGATGGTGTTATATGAGTGAGGTTTGGTCCCAGGACCTTCCTATCGTAGACGGATTAACACATCGCTGGTTGTTGTTGGGTCTCACGGGCCGTTATCACTGGGTAACCTGGGACCTTACTGTGTGAAGGTTAACTTGGGTACGACTGTTACTGTTGAGTTGTTCTCACTGGCTTAAGCACTGTTCACCACTGTTCACCTCTGTTTAACACTGGTTCCATTCCTTTCCTAAATGAAATTGTAACTTCTGGCGAGAACTTGTTGATATTCCGGTGGGGAGGAGGGTTCAGGGGAAGGTGTTGGTATGGGCCAACTTAACAGTTGACCTGGCTGCTCCGAGAGCAGCGCCAGGTACGTCTTGACCTTCGGTGGGTTTACAAAGGGAAAATCTTGTCTAACAAATCTGCTGACGTTTTGTAGGAAATTCTTCGAGGTAGTAGATAATGACGAAAATTACGATGTTATTTACTTACACTTTAGCAAAGCATTTGACAGAGTACCGCATCAGAGGCTTCTGAGAAAAGTTAAGGCTCATGGTATCAAGGGGAAAGTTTTAAATTGGATAAAATCATTGCTCACCGATAGAACGCAGAGGGTCAGCGTAGATGGTGTTAAAACTGAGTGGGGCTCTGTAACCAGTGGGGTTCCCCAGGGGTCAGTACTAGGCCCACTCTTGTTCATAATCTACATAAACGACCTAGATACTGGGATCAGCAGTGACATAAGCAAGTTTGCGGATGACACCAAAATAGGGCGGCAGATAAATTCAGGGCAGGATGCAAATGCACTACAGGAGGATTTAAATAAACTGCAGGGGTGGTCAGAAAAATGACAAATGAAATTCAACACCAGCAAGTGCAGCGTACTTAATATTGGAAGAACAAATACTGTCAATGTATACAGCCTTAACAACATCAACCTAGAGAAGTCGAGTTGTGAAAGAGACTTAGGGGTATTTGTAAGCCCGGACCTACGGCCTAGAAAACAGTGCGTTAATGTTCGAAATAAGGCAAACAGAGTATAAGGTTTTATATCTAGAAGTGTAAGTAATAAGAGTGCAGAGGTCTTATTGCAACTATATCTTGCGCTAGTCAGGTCGCACTTCGATTATGCGGTTCAGTTCTGGTGCCCTTATTTTAGAATGGATATCAATTCACTGGAGTCGGTGCAGCGAAGAATGACGAAAATGATTCCGGGACTTAGAAACCTACCATATCAAGATAGGTTAAAGAAACTAAACTTGCATTCCCTAGAAAGACGAAGAGTGCAGGGAGATATGATAGAAGTATTTAAGTGGGTGAAAGGAATCAATGAAGGGGATATAGATAAAGTTCTTATAATATCCAAGCAGGATAGGACTCGTAGCAACTGTTTTACGTTGGATAAGTTTAGGTTTAGGAGGGAGATAGGAAGGAACTGGTTCACAAATAGGGTGGTGGACGAGTGGAACAAGCTTAGCAACTTTGTAGTAAGTGCTGGAACGCTGGAAAGTTTTAAAAGGAGGCTAGATAGATTCATGGATTATAGAGAGTGGTAGTAACTTTCGACAGGAGCTGCCATGCACAGGCCAACCGGCCTATTGCAGACTCCTTATTTTCTTGTGCTCTTATGTTCTTATGTGGCCAGGACAGTAGCTTGGGGCAATGCAGGTGTGCTCCATCCTTCAGGTTAGATCGGGTGAAGCCGTGAGGTTAGGTCAGGTTAGGTCACATCCAGACAGACTCAGTATTACACTGATGTGTTATTGTGCTTTACTTGGAGTGCACTATCGGAACACTGTTTGGTAGTCAATCGTTCACTGATCACTTGAATGTTTTGCTGAATAAATCCCGGTGTAGTAAGGCTGGTAGGGCGTTGGGATATAGCAGGGGGAGGGGATGGGGCAAACTGACTCGGCCTGGCTGCTCAAACTGGGAGCGCCATCAGGGCACATCTTGTCTCGCTGTTGGTTGACAAGTGTGTGTGTGTGTGTGTGCATGATGTGTGTGTGTGTGTGTGTGTGTGTGTGTGTGTGTGTGTGCGCGCACGCGCCACACGCAGGGTCGTAAAATGCGTCTAGAGTGGCAGCATTATGGTAGTGTTAGGGTGCAAGCACTGCTTGCTCCCTCTCGCTTTCAGCTGCCGCCGCTGGCTAGCCCTCGTGGCGAACATGGAAGCAGCTTGCATAAGTCTTCCCCTGCCAGTACACAGCCTCTTCACCATCAAGACTCCCGTTGTGCCTCCTCGTGGCAACACACGGTACTGGGTGCCTCGTGGGCCCAGGCTAGATCAGCATGGGAGTTCAGAGTAGCCTTGCAGAATAACCTTGGCAGGGTATAAGGCTACGGGGGCAAACCCCGAATGAAAAATCTGCAGTGAAGCCCCACATCAGGCAGACATGCATAAAGAGCTCCAACAAGACCCCAACGGCGGTGTAGGCG